AAAAAAAAAAAAAAAAAAAAAAAAAAACATACTTCCTAACTGAAAACCTTTTCCATCTGAGTTTAGAAGCTTACATGCGTTTGGCTTGGAAAGAAAGCTTACATGAGTTTAGCCTATTTTCTTTTGTATGTAGTAAGTAGATTGTCAGGATAAAATGGAGCTCCAAGAACTTAAGGGCATTCTAAGTTCTGAGTTTGAAATGGAAGGCTTGGAGAAAGCTAAAATAATCTTTTTAGGGGCATGAAAATCTCTAGAAATAGACAATAGGGTGAATTTTCTTAATCAACCTACAAGCATCTTTTACCTTGAAAAAATTCAACGTGGACTCTGCAGTGCAAAAGCAGTGAAAGTTCCCCTTGTAACACACACTCACTGGATGAAATGAGCTGAATTTGCTATTATGTGTCAGGAATCACGAACCTACCTCCGTAATGATACGATATTGTCTACTTTGAGCATAAACTCTCCTGACTTTATTTTGGGCTTTTCCAAAAGGCCTCATACCAATGGAGATGTATTCCTTACTTATAAAATCCATGACCATTCCCTAAATTAGCAAACGTGGAACTGAAACCACTTCCCTTTAGCTTTACTATTTTTCTCTCCCCAGCTAATTATATACCCATTTTCCCTCACAGCTACAACTTTGGTGCCAGGTTAATACCAATGGAACAACAGAAAGATAAACCATCAGCTGCAGCAAACCCACCCATTCCTTCCTGTAGAAAGAAGAAAAATGAAGACGGTACATTCTTGGAGGATTTGAAGGATCACATCGATGAGTTCATTCATGCATCGATGGACGAACACAAATCGTGCTTCAAGAAAACTATCAACAAGGTTAATCTCATTTTCTTCTCTGCGCATCCAAAAGAGAAATAATCATGTTTCTGAGATATGTGGTGGATATGTTTCGTTACAAACTAAAAAATCTTTTGATTCGTTACAGATGTTCCGTATGTCAAAAGTTGTGGCAGATAGGCATTCAGAGACAAGTGGAGTTGAAAGTTCTCTGCCTCTTCGAACAACAGTATCAGAGTAAATTCTCTTTCTTCCTTTCTTCAAGGATACTTTGTCTGCATCTTCAACCAACTCCATGAAATCTTGGATTCCTATTTATAGTCTATTTTACATGATTCCACATGAAACGTTACCGTTTTGTCTCCCTTGATGTGCTATTAATTGGTGTTATATTTTGAGCCACCAACCAATACTGTTCTTGGAATTTTTCTTGCTTGTTTGGTTACCTCTTGATGCTTAGAGTTTATCTAAAAGGACTTGATTTCTGTTTCCAGACTTAGGTCACGATTAATTTTTTAGATGATAACATATAACAGCCCAAGCCCACTGCTAGCAGATATTGTCCTCTTTGGACTTTCCCTTTTGGGCTTCTATGGAGAGGTTTCCACACCCTTGTAAAGGATGCTTCGTTCTCCTTCACAGTCGATGTGAGATCTCACATAACAGGTATCCTAACCTTGTTAGCTTGAAAAGAACGTAAAGTAAATTCAATTCTCCTACATCGATTAGCATTTTTGGTTGGCAAAATACACTTAAAAAACATAGAATTGCAGGTTTACACTGTTGGATTCCTGCAATTTGATAGATTAGTCATCTTAGGGGCAAAATCAGCAACCACCATCCACCTTTATTCTTCCTCTCATCCCTCCCAGTTGCTTGCATTTTCATCCTATTTATTGAAGCTTCAGGTCTCTCATCCTGCAATTACTAAATAAGTTAACCCCTTTATTGCAATTTCCAAAAACTTTAAATTTATTTATTTATTTTTTTTTTTTCAATTTTGGAAAATTGATCAATTATTTTTCAAAAGTTTAAAACCCCAGAATTGAAATAAAATATTATTGAAATTTACTTAATTTATTTATAATATTTTAAAACAATTCCCTAGTTCTCGAGTAATGGGCTCGTTTTGATATTTGTAGTAAAAGAAAAAAAATAAATAAGAACATTAAACAATAAATTAGTATAAGATTGGATAATCCAATTAAGAGATTATTATATTAACAACGCAATTATTGGTATTAATTAGTGGTGGAGAAGGCACGTGAGTGGCACGCTATGGGTTTCTCGTAAATTGTTTTGAGTTTTAAATTTAAAATTCATAAAATCTGAACCATTGCATTTACCAATTGAGTGATGATTGGATTGCATGCTTTTCTTTTTCTATGGAAACCCTCAAAATGCAAATTTTAATTTCAAATTTCCCTATTTTTCCTTATAAAAATGTGATTAAAATGTCTAATAAATAAATTTTATAGACTTTTTTTTTTTAATTAAATAAATTATATTTTACCTAAAGAAAAAATGAAAAATAAGAAAATAAGAGTTCCTCGAGAGCGCTACGTTTCAAAATGAAAAATATCAAAATAATTGAAATAGACGCGAAAAATCTCAAAAGCAAACTAAAATATAAGTTGATAGGGACTTAGAAATTGGAATTTTCTAGTAAAGAAAAAGATGTACGGATATATATATATATAAAAAAAAAAAAAAAAAAAAAAAAAAAAAAAAAAAAAAA